GGATCAACGGAAGTTGATTTTCGGAACTCTCGAGAATTTAGAGTTCCGAATGTTAAACTGAAACAACAAAACACGGTGCGTCCGTGAAAACAACTTTTTTGGACACTTTTTTGGACAAATCGTCGTGTCCAAGTTTTGTTGGGTACTTACCTGCAAATACCCAATTAGGGTGTTTTAGGCATATTCAGCGGCACTTCTTATTGGGTATACCCAATAGGCAAAAAGTACCCAATAAGTACAATCTTGGCATGAAAAATACCCAATAAATGCACTCTCGTAAACACGGACAGACGGACTGACGGACGCCGGACGCATTACTATCGCATAAGCTCTTCTGGTCTCTGACCAGTAGAGCTAAAAACTAGGCCCAAAATAGACCATACAAGAAAATATATCTTTTCTGTCTTTTTAAATTATCTTCGTCACATATAGAAAAATATCTCCTTTAATGTTATTCAATACAGCATTAGATAATGTATTTCCTCAGATATATCTGCAAAAATGATTAAAAAAAAAATCTGACAATTTACGGTGTATTTATAAATTTGGCCGTGTAATCAAGTCTAATCTTAACACTTTACAGTTCTAAACGTAAATTTTATGTATTGCATCGGGGAATGACCCTTGATATTTTTTTCTTAATTCATAACCCATACGAAAATGTGTAGTTGACCGTCCAGTAGTCGTGAACTAGCCGTCAACTAGTCGTCAAGTAATAATGCGAAAACAGTTGACCAATCGGAGTTGAATGCTTTTCTGAAAAGCGATCAACTGATGTGCATAAAACGGCCAGTGGACCGTTAGCTGAAAGCTAATACTTTGAAATTTCATGCAAAACAAGAGTTGGCCACTAGGTGACAACTCCGGCTTGTAAGAAAATTTCTCCCACGCTACATTTCTGTTGGGTTCAACATTTCATTATCATAGATCGGGTTTGTTATACCATAATAACAACAACCAAGATTTGAATCAGTACATGTGTGTTTTCTGTAGAAGATGGGCATTTTGATTTGAAACATTATTGTCTTCGTGATGATGCAGCGTGTGAAATATATCTCATGTACTTTTGTAAGTATATAAAATGTAAAGATTTGTTTTACTAAGCTTGGTATTTTTAAACAAATAATAGGAATACAAAACACTGTAGCCAGTATAGGTCCCTATTTTTGTGCTCTTTTTTAAATTTTGAAAGAATTCTGAAAACCTGTCATGCATCAAGTGTTTTGTGTTTCTTGTTTTGTTCGTAAAAATATACCATTGCTTTAGACTTATTCAACGAGTTAATCGCTACCTCATTTGTATGGCAAAAATTCAATCAATGGTCAGTTGACGGTCAGTTGACCGTCAACTAAAAGTCAACTGAATACTATAACGATAAAGATATCGATAGATTAAAAGCCATGTATGTAAACATGATATACGTAAGTCGAACCAATTGTCAGAAAATTAAAACTGAAAACGAAAAAAAAAATGAAATTTTTACCCATAAATATTGCTATATATAGAATCGCTCAAGTAATCAAATAAATTAACAACTATTAAACATAAGTTTACATTTGTGATCCCTGCTTACTAACAAAACAGAAAACAAATAAGCATTGTATTTACATCTATACTGAGTAGTTAACATGAAAAAGAATAACTCCGTTATAGAGTTGGCCTACTATAAACGTTGTGCGTAAAAAATAGTTTCTAAGTTTACTAGTTCGGATTAGTTTATGTTTGATTTGATGTCTTGATTGAGAATCCATCCTGATGAGTGATAATGAGCTCTAGTAATACCGCTACTGGGAAAAAAGACGTTCCTGCTTCACAAATTTCTGAGTGGCAGTATAAGGATGTGACTTCGTAGACATGCGTTTATATCTAAAGATATGAGTTCATCCTTGCATATGTAGAGCTATATAGCATTAAAAGCTTAGATCAGTAGTAAGTCTGTAAGGGACATGCAGACTAAGTCTTTAACGTGCCTAGGAACTTGAGAGAAAATCAGAAATGTCACGATGCATGGACTTAAACTTGCTTGGTAACGCTGTTGTAGAGTTTCTATGCGTATATTTGTACTTATTTAAGTTGGAAAAAGTGATTTTGTGGGACTTTAATCTGTTGAAACGAAAGTTGTAGTATATTTTGCTGAACTGAAGTCTTTATGATTAGTCTAATTAGTTGTATTTTTAAAAGTCACTAAAAGATAGCCCTCGTTTATTGTTTTAGTAATAGAGACCTGAGAATTATGTGAATTTTGATTCCATTATATAAGATTATAATTTCCAAGGAAAGAAATCGACCTTTTAAATATATTTAGAACTAGTTTCACTTTTTATTTAAGAACAAGAAATGACAAGCAAAACTTTGGTAAAGGAGACAGCATATAGAGTAGAGCGAAAGCCAACCTGTCATGCACTTATACTGAATTTTGTAAGAGGAGTGTCGACTTCCTTAACATTTCATATTGTTTGTAATTACCTACTTAAGATACTTAAGACTAAGTGATTTCAATTACCACAGCTTTTAGAAAACTTAAAAATGAACGGGGAGATGCTAATAAGGACAAAAAAATCCATCAAAACGAGGGAAAAGAGGAGTCAAACCTCCTGTAAGCTTGAAAGCCCTCAACAAAACACCATAATGAGAGCAAAAAGAAAAGATAAGAGGTATATTTATTATTTGTGTAAAACGAATTTTGTCGCTGCTTAAACATCTCACATATGATTTGACTCATTTGGATGCTGTCGGAATTTCCCTTAATCTATCTCTGTTCCGTTCTACAATAAAACTACATATGTACTTTAGTTATATGTAGATTATCTGGGAATGATCTTTAAGAGTGTCAGTTTGTGGACGATATGATGTTTCAAAACGGAGATAATTCTTAATTTTTTTTTACGTATTTGCTAATCGAATGAAGAAAAAATCTTACTCATCAAGTAAAGTTAAGCAAAATTGTAATATTGTCGTGTGAAAATCTAAAAAAAATAATAAACCAAAGATTTAACAAACTGCTTCTCAAAGAAAAAAGAATGAAATGAATGTAAAAAAGAATGTAAATTTATTTGAGAAGCAAAATTTGACGATTTTCGTTAACAGTTTATATCACAATGCATTCTTTTATGTAAGTGTTAAATGCTAATGAAATACAATGTATTAGGAAATCAGTATTTTCGGAGGGGTGGATGGGATGAGAAATTGAAATGTTCTACATGTAAGTATGCCAAGATTCGAATAATCTTTAGGGGTTTTTTGTTCAATATCATCAATATTGCATCACATCGTTCCTACTTGATCATCCTATACATGTATCAGACTTGTGCGCCGTTGCTGAATATTTAAGAAAATGTCGGTACATACAGCAAACCATGTGTGGTAGCTGATTCTAAGGCTAAATAATGGTGGATAACCGTCTTTGTTTTTCACATGATGTATTCAATTTTCTTATTTAGCCTCTACTGTAAAGTTCATGTTATTTTTTTTTTCAAAATTTAAGTGAATATTCAGCTAAATGTATAAAATAAACAATTTATTATGATCATCATAAAAAATATCACAGTCAGACATTTAGCCTATTTTTATAATTTGAATAAAATAATACGAAGGGTGATTAAAAAGTTCGCAAACTATCTCTATATCTACGAAACCACAAATCAGATCTGAAAATAAATTGGTACACTCATAGCCATATAAGAGTTTAATAAATAGCAGAATCTGAATAACGTTTAGCTCCTTGTTTGAGACATCACAATGTGAAAATGACTTAACTATGTAGGTCACTTGTAACGGAAAATTGTTGTCTCAGTCCTACTCAATCAACAAATGACTGTGGAATGTATTTTATTTCTTAGAAACCCTTTTGCAGTAGCGTAAAATAATTTGTGCAGAGTTTATTAAGTCAAATTCTATAAATTGAATTAATGATTTGATTGATCGTTATAATGAGAGATGGTAGATCTGTGTTTAAAAATAATACATGTAGTATGCCCAGTGTAAGCAAGTTTGCGAAGAAATGTTTTTAATTAAGCAATTTGCTATCACAGACCTCAAATTTACATAATGAGAAATAGTTGAATATTTCAGTAATAATATAAATATTAAATAACTGAGATATCATTTACTTTAGATTTTCAATATAATTATATGGAAGTTTGTCAATTAGTTTGTCAACTTTTTGATCATGAAGTTAACAAGAAATTGAATTGCAACCATAAATCCCAAATAGCTGTCTGATCAGAACATAACATAAGCGATGAACATAAACACAAAATCATGTAACAGATGTGAAAGGTTCATTATTTTTATTCAGTGGTTAATATTGTAGTAGGAATTGTATATTTGATAACGATAACGCCTATGACAAGGTCTGTCTTACGAGAAAAAAAAAAAAAAAAAAAAACATTTTCAAGTAGGGGACAAGGAAGCACTTGACAATTTGTATGTTTTGACGAAGAAGGATATGGAAATAACGAACAGTATTCAATCTCAACGTCCATTAAACAAATATACAAAATAAGAGCAGAGCAAACACGGACCTCCGAAACATCAGAGGTGGGATCAGGTGCCATGGAGGAGTGAGCATCCCCTGCCGACCGGTCACACCCGCCGTGTGCTCCTTGTCATAATCAGGAAATAACGGAAAAAATCCGTGGTCAATTCAGTGTATAAATAATGGACTAACAATTGGTATGAAAAACGTCAGTCAGCATTTGATTCAATGATAAATTGTATTTGCTGACAAGGTCATTGTATCGACCATAAAATTTACGAAATGATGACTTTAAACGAGACTGTTGATATTCTTGTTTCATCAACTTGCTTGTCAATACCTCGTTTAAGAAATTGTTCATACGTAGAGCATGCGAACTGTTGTGTGTTTTTGCCTAACTACATTTTAATAATGATCCCTCTAAATATGAATTCAAGACAGTTAACAGTATATTTTCGTGCCAGGGTCAAATGGAAATACAATTTTTGAGAACGAAAAATTTAAGAAAAAGACATAATCTTACCACTTCAGTGTTTTCGTCGAAATTCACGTGCGCGGTGATGAGACAATAACAGTCCACAAGAACTATTGGAAAATCACAGAAATATTATACACTATGTATTTTCTTTCCATCTAAAAGCATCTTTGTTAAACAAGATATAAACAGGAAAACTAAATTTTCACAATATTGTGTTCCTCACACTAAGTGATATCACATGATCAACTTCTTGACCTTTATACAAGGACATAGCTGTGTATTTGTCAAAAGAAGGAGGAGCTTGTATAAAAAAATATGTACGGAAAAGCCGATGTTTGCCTCACATGACTACAGATAAAAAAGTGGTAAAAAATAATATGTAGGTTTTTCAACTTCATTGTTCCATTTAACAATAGACCAAATAATATTTACTATTAGTTCTTGGCCTTATATTTTTCCATTCTTTTTACTATGTTAATTTTTGTACAATGTATATTTTTGAATAGTCTTTCCTTTAAATTTACAAATACAGCTTATTTGAAATTTTAAATTAAGGTATATCAATTTAATCCCATTGTTTTTCGTTTATTATATACAGTATATAACCAGAGAAAATGGCTATATATCCGATTTCCATGAAAGATGTTTTTCAAATAAAAAGAGATTAAATCTTAAGTTAACCTCATTTCTTTATCTTTTATATGTTTTAACTGTTCCTTAGAATATTTCTGAATATCTTGTCCATCCATCAGTCTGTCTTTGTGACTTTCTGTAGCACTTTCGTTTCAGAGTGATGTCTTTATTAGCCTTTGAACTTTTGCAATATCATTTTACTTAGAATATCCCGATGACCTCTGACAAATTCCTATTAATTTTAAGACAAATGCCAAAGCTGAAGTTCATTAATTCATAAAATCTTAAATGCTTTTGTTCCCGCACTATATCTAGAGGAGCCTTTGAGCATTTGTGATGACATTTGACACAATTTTCTATGGCAAAAGAAGAATTCGTAGGTAATTTGGGGTCAAATGGTCAAAGATCAAACTCATGAACCCAACAGGTATCCATATTGTACACTTTCATGCAATACCTTGAGCAGCTTTTGAGATTGTAGTGAAATTCTATAACACAACTACATATGGCCTCAGGAAAATCATAATTGACTTTGAGGCCGAAAAACAAAAACGTCAATGTCCTGAAATTTTATTGACACTATAGTACGAGATCGAGTTTGGCGAGTGATTTTTAATTTTGGCAAAGAGTAATGCGCCCTTCTGGTTGCACTGACCATACGTTTAGTCCTCGAAAGACTGGAAACAGAAAGAATATGGTTGCAGGGTATTTATTTTACGGAGTTTCAGACGAAAATACAAGTGAATGACCTACTTTGAAAATTCAAGATGGCGGTCTCGATAGGTACCTTCTTTATTATTATTATTTTTTTTTATTAAAAGATGAATAAGTAACGTCAGGTGCTCGTGATTGCAGCCAAACACAAAATAATCTTTCAATTTTCTTTTATTTAGTGTTAAAATTTCCTGTAATTTTGATTTTTAATCTATCACATATTTATGTCGTCTTAAATTAGGTCTTGGGTTTGCTTTTGTCATCAATTTTGGTACACAATTTTGACGATTCGAGTGGTTGTTTTGTGCAAATTTTAATATGACGTCAGTTACGTCACAAAGGCAATGTCACATTGTTTCCCTTTCATTCTCTGCAAATGACTTCAAGTCTGTACAAATTTAAAAGTAAATTTATCACAAAGTGCTTGCTTTTGTACGTAGACCTCGTACATCTTTTATGATTAAATTTCAGTCTAAATTCTGGTGTGATTATCTGTAATGTCTTAGGACTAATTAAATACAATACAAAATGAAAGTAATATATTATATTTGAAGTATAACTAAACTGCTGAAAGTCAATCAGAATAAATCAGCGTAAAAGTTATGAAATGATGTATCATAATTAATAACTTTATTAATACATTTGTATTACGTTCTGTAATCAGCAATAAACTCTCAAAATAAATTCAAGTTTGTCTATACTACTGTCAGTCCGTGGACAAAAGAGTCACTATGTCTTCTAATAAAGCATGGGGGACCATCTAAAAATTCATTAAATTCATGTTTTAACAAGGTTAATTGACAATTAATTGACAATCACATGATTGCTGTCGTATAGATTCTTTTCACATTTGCTTTTTTATTTCTTTTGAAAGATGACAGTACATTTCCACTACCAAAGCTCATTGAGATGGTAATAATCTTGTTTTGGTATGACTGTTTCAAGGTTTATTTTTAAAGTGAATAAATGACGTTATTATTACCATGAGAATATCAAATTATGAGAATTGATATAACAACTGTCATAAACTTTTTTCATCGCTTCTATCTTAACATAATAGGAACAGGTTGATTAGTGCCCCCCCCCCCCCCGTAAATGTTTGCCTCCTCCCCGGAATTGCTTCCTATTGGTATTGGCCTGTGTTGGCTGCAGAACTTTGATTATATATTTTTTTTACCATCCTGTATATTTTATAACCCTTCATATCCGTCTTTATGGATAAATAAACTTGTTTGTTTTAATTTTTTCAGACTGCAGAAAATTCAAAGCAAGCGAGTTTATTGGTCCTTAGAGACGACTATAAATTCATTAAGGGTAAAGACATGGAAAATAATACATGAGACTGATATGACAAACACTGTAATCATGCTGGCCATATTCCTGGTTGGGCACAGCAAATGGCAGTACATTTTTCAGTCTTCACATTTGTAGTTTTGTGCTTTCATCTACAGATACATGTATTTTATACCTTCACAAAAAAGATAAGAACACATTTCATTAATACATATAATTTCATTCTTTTCAGAATCCATCCAACAATGAACAATATGAATTCAATTTAAGACAAACATTAAAAGTACTAACGGTCTTTGACTCAAGTTGAATAAATCTGATATACTTAGGCTTACAAAGTCAATATATGTGTGAGACATGCAATTTAAAAATATAATTCCCAAACCCTTTACATAATATGCAATAGGAGCAAGCTCAGATTTTGCAGCAGGCCAAGTTTACGAGTATTTTTCAACTACGCCAGTGACTTGCGATCTTACGATTATGTTTCACCTGCGCCAGAGGATCGCATCCTGTTATGCAAAATCACGTTATGCTTTGAATTATTCAACACTATTTATCGCTACCACCCAAAACTTTACGAAATTAAAAAGAAAGAAATGGCATTAGCAGAGCAAGTCTTTTACAAAGATAACAGATATTATAGGTATTATAATATTTAGTGCAATTACATTAAAAAAATAAAACATCATAACATGTACATTACCAGAACTCTCTGACAGGGCTGCAGCTATGCAGAAGTGAACTATAGAAAAGATTATCTTTGTATCAATAGTCTTCTTGTGTACCAAAAAGTCCAACTTAAGTTCACCAATGCTTTTAAAGAATTTAACTGAATTTATAGATATAAAGTTGCAAATTAAAACATCAATTGTCTAAAATCAAAAACTTATACATGTATATAAAATTAGGTATCTTAAACAGTCTGTGTACAGTCTAGCTGAAATTATACCTAAAACTGTAGGAAGAGTAGAGTTTGAAAAAACAGATTACAGACAGATGGACAATGGACATCATACTCATACTCCTCTGAAGATAGGGCTACAACAATCATAATTACACCTGTGATTCTTGAAAATGTTCCAATATCTTTTTTATAACATTTCTTGATTTTGTAATTCTAGTTTTACCTGCAAGGTCTTTTTCACTTGGTAAAAAATACACACCATCATACCCATCTCGTTCATATGCAAGTTTCAAATGGTGATAGGTCAGAGATGAGTTCTTCAGTTTTGTAGCCATATCTCCTGACACCACATTAATTTGACATAACCAATCAACAGACATTTCTTGTGCTTGCACTCCAGAAGAAGTAATCTGTGCAGGAGTGAACATAAATTCTGTGAAAAGCAAAGCAGTATTCCCTGAATGAAACACAAGTTTCTGTAAATGAAGACAATCTTCACTTGCATCATGTGCTGAGTAGGCTTCTCTCAGAAGTTTTTTCACTAATGTTTCTTGCTTATGATTAGGAAACTCAGGGTAAAGTTTTCTAAAAAATGGCAATGTATCAGGAAAACCTATAACTAGTTTGCAAAAGTGACTCCAAAGGTTGAAGTACTTTAGATGATTATAAAGAATAATGCAGTCAAATTTCTTGTTGTTGTGAGCAGCCAAAATAATATTCCTGCCAATAATCATGAGAAAATGCAGAAAATGCAGAAAATCTAATAAACCATTCATAGGATGAACAGGTGGCACAATTTTATCATGATGTGTCATAACATTTGTGGTTTCATCATAAATTATCCCTGTAACTTTTGAGGCTTCTGGTGAAATCTGCGTGGTTGGGGTTAAGAACGTGTTGAAATCTGACCGATATCTGGCTGATAACTGGGTAATACAGCTTTCTCTTCCTTTAAAATAAAGTAATATTCCGTGCAGTAAGTTACTCTCTCGTTTGATCTGGATATATTATTAAACTTAAACACTATAAATTAAAATACATCGTTTTGTTTTAAAACTACATAAATTGCAACATACATGACTATAACAATACATATTTTTTATTTAAATATTTTTTAAAAATTTGGTTTTCCATGTATTATCAGATATCATATCTTTTTTTTCAAATACACTGTATATTTATTGTTTTTATTTTTTAAATTCTTCCTTTTTAAGATTAGTTTCAATTCAACAAAAATTATCATTTTTATCATCACCTAATCCTGTTGTCTCCAGATCATAAAAAAACTGCCCTTTGAGTAGAATAAGGAGACAGGGGGGTCTTGGTTGATCTCTGAAAATACATGATTACATAATAACATGATTAAGCAGAACAATTTGTATTGTTGATAACAGTGAAATAATAAGCGTTTTGATACAAGGATCATGGAAGATTTTTAGAATATTAGTTTGATTTTAGGAATCTATAGTTTGATAAGATTCAATTTACCAAAAATTGGTGTGGGTATAGCATTATGTTCTTCCTCTGGATCTGGACCTTGAATTTTTTCTGCCTCCCTGTAGATTGTTAATAAAGGTGCATTTATGAATTATGTGTAAAGAAAAAAAAATGTTGCAAATTCAAGAGACTTTAAAGTAAAGAAGTAGAAAGGATTGTTTTTCAAGTTTTTACCACAGAGCAATGTCTATTCCCCTTAATATTTATATAATCAAGTTTTCAATTTTAATACTACCGTATA